TCTGTTTATCCTATCTCCCTGCTCCAGTCAGGTGGGAAACAAGATGTTTTCTCTAGTTGACACAGTCCAAAGCAGAGCTGACTAGTCCGAGGGGTGAAGCCTAGGCTTCTGTCGCTGGGGCCTCGCTTACTTGTCCAATTAACACACCTAGGTAAAAAGTCTGTGCGTGCGACTTTTTAGTATGAGGACAGGTAAGCATAAAGGATCCCTGTGTGGGGTCGATAAAATACACGGTTAGCAGTCATTTACAAACCTAGTCATTGGCGCATAACAAGACCGGATTTCAAAAGTATCGTGGCTTTCCTGGACGATTTTGACGGAAAAAGGAACTTGCCCTGGGCCTGGGTGGACTAGGTGCGGCCCACTCGAGCCCAGAGGCGACCGCCAAAGAAGAGCTGGGAGGACTGGGACGCCGTTCTGCCGACGTGTTTTACGGATTCAGCCAGCGGGAGAATCAGTCCGGAACGAAGAGATCAGTGTGCGCTCGCTGGGGCTGGGAAAAGGGCAAGGAGCCCACGATAGAGGAGGAGAAAGACTCGGGGAGGAAAAGGCGGCCTGGGGCCGCGCGGGGGAGGAGCTGCGGTCAGACCCGCGAACCCACTCGGTGCAGGGGAAGCGGCGCGGCTGGAGCGCCACCGAGCCTGGGCGCGGGCGGGCTCTCTGCTGGGAAGAGCACGCCGTCGGGCTTACTGGAAACGCGCCGGATCAGGTTCCAGATCAATGAAATCTGGGTCTACACGTTTACGTTATTGTTGCCAGCATTAATGCTCTTTTAATCTTCTAAACATTATCAGCATCGATCTCCCTCCATATACACATTTGTTTGAGAAAGTGACATAACCACACAGTGGAAGCCTGGAATAAAAATAAATGCGCGGACTCTCGCGTCGAGGGCGCCGGGCGGCCGGGGCTGCTTCTAACGCTCGGGATCACTCTCTCCCACGCGTCTTACCTCCTCCGCTCGCCCCCTCCCACTCTAATGCCTGTTAGGCAGGTGTTCTCCGGGTCCTGGGACTGAAGAAGCAAGGACCATAGCGAGCTTGTCAATTACGAATCAGACCAGCCAGCAGGCGAACAAACGGGTTTGTTGTTGCGTGCGTACTGGCCTGAGTTGACTCGGTCCTCTCAGTCTCGGATCTCCAACTACGCCGCCTCCGGGAGAAGTGGGCTGGGCGGGTAGTTGGAGCCACCCAACGGAGGTTTGAGAGGAGGTGGGGTGTGGGGCTGCGAAGGAGGGCCCCTTCCCTCTCCTTGGCTTCTGGCGGGAGGTCAGGCCTGGGCGTCCCAGGCCTACTGGAGACTCGCATGCACCTGATGCTCCTGGCAGGAACCACTAAACACAGTTCGACAGTGCCCCTCCGCTGTTGGCATTAGGTGGCCTAGGAGACATTCTGGCTGGTTGGTTAAGGGCCTTCGGCCGGCCGTCTGAACAGAGTTGGCTCCAGACTGGCTGCTGGGAACTGCTGCCTGGGCCGTGAATCTGTCCGAGGAGGGGGTTAGAGGCAGATTCCGGACAGGCCACTGGGGTGTCCAGTTCACAGGGGCTGAAAATCTGGACCAGGATCAGCGTAGGGGGCTCCACTCTCTCTTCCAGGTTTTGGAAGAAACCATCGCCAACCACAGAGGCGAACCTTGCCATGGAGGCCTCACTTTTCCTTGTGTGGGGGGGGTTGGTTCAGTTTTTTTTGTATGGGTTCTCCCAGTGCTTTCTCGTATGTGTTTGTGCTTAGCTCAGAGCCCACTTAGGCTCAAAGTCGAAGTGTGTGTGTGTGTGTGTGTGTGTGAACACGCACAAGCGCTGAGCCTGCAGGAGTGCGTCCTTGCTGCCTCCTGCCACTTAATAAACACTGCCCTGTTTGGTCTGCCTGGGAAACCGTGAGGGAGGCCCAACCAGGCTAGGTTGCCACCACTTCCAAAAACATGTATTTGGAGTCCATTTCTCTGAGCTAATGTTGGGGTAGTATGAACCTGTCTGATGACGTCTCCCTTCTCTTTGAAGTGCCACCTGTGGCCACATGGCTGAAGCTACAGAACAGGAGGAGAACCTGGGAGGAACATGAAGAAGAGGAAGGCCCTGCCTCTGCTATGATGCCCACAGTTGGCCTAAAGGTGACGTTGGCCGGTGCTGGCCAAATGAGACATCTCAATTCTAAGACCCTTAAACCCCTGTGTGCTTGGACCTCTGCAGGACCAGACCCAAAATGGGAGAAAGAAAAGAAAGCTAAAAGGGGACAGAGAGAAAAGAAGTGGGTTCTGTGAGGGATTCCAGGTGTGGGTTTGGGAGTCCAGTGGAGTGGCCCTGGGGAGCCTAGGCTTGTTTAACCCTGGGGGCCCAACCACATGGCCCTCAGAAGCATCCTGGCGGGATTCCGATCAATACTCCAGGCACAGAAGGCTTCCGCTTTTCTTCTCCATTTGCTACTGTCCTTTAGAGCTCCTGAGCACATAATACCTACTTACCAGTCCCAGCTTCTGTGACAGTGTCTGAAGAGACTGATCTACTGACCCCAAACTGAAAAGCCTCCTATGTAATAATAACCACTCAACACACTTGTAGTTGCTGATAAAATGGCCAGATAAAAGGGCTAAAGCTCTTGTTCCTTTTCAACCCAGGGTAATAAAACAGACACACATTTGAATGCTTGAGCAAAGTGGGGTCGTCATCAGGTGTTTCCCGCTTGCTGGAGGAGGCGCTCAATCTCCCAGGAAAGCGGCTTTGGCTCTCCTCTGCGGAAAAGCCATGGCTTGGGCCTTGCTGTTTATGGCCTGCCTCTAGGATTCCAGGCTTGGGCAGGGCAGAGGACCCCCATGCTATAATCCTCCTCCCCCAGCAATGCTCGCTGAGGTAAATTTTGAAACCCCTAGTACCAGAGACATTACTTTTCCACATCACTTTCAGAAGGCACGTATGTGTGTTTTCAAGCTGTGTCCTTTGTGCAACAGGCGTGAGGGGGCAGCAGCGTTCTGAGATGGGCTGGAATGGAATAAGCTGTCACCCTGCCTTTAGCTGTACCCCTTAAGACCAACTGCCAAGTTACTCCTGGCTCTCAGTTCCCAGAACTAGCCGGGGCTCAAGCCCGCCCTAGAGGACCTGGGACATTTGGGGGTACCTAAGACAAAGGAGTACTACCATATTAATCATTGCCTGTGCACTGCCAGTTTCTTTCTTGTGGCTACTCTCTACACCCTGCCTTATCTTTGCCAGAACTAAGAGCAAATTGAACAAAACTCTAGGAGGGGACGAAGAATAAACTACAGAAAGATAAAGTAGATTTTGAAATTCATTCAAAAGTATCTGGAGTCTACCAATTTAAGGGAGTAAAGGAGGGAAAGCTGGTTTCCTTCACCTTAGATCAACACCGGAGGCGGAGGCGACTGCCGACTGGAGATCTGAATCCTCCAACAGCGGGCACAGGAGAAGACTCAGCGGAAACACTCCCTCCCCAAGCCCGGGCGAGTATGTAGCCTGTCATCCTCCGCCCCTGGGTGGTAAAGTGCTCGGCACTAGCTAGGTTTGGTGGTGGGAGGAAGGCCCTGGGGAGTGGGAGCCTGAGCTTGAAGGTCCAGTAGCATGTTTTACGCAGCCGATTCGATCAGCGCAAATCCCAGTATTCGCGGCTTGCAAATCAATGTCACTATGAAATGTTCTCCCACATCGCCGGCAGAAACCCCCAGCCCAAGAGATGCCGCCCATCCCGACTTGCAGTAGGGTATTGTGTGTTCTCCCCGTGGGGTGCCTGGACACTTTGTTCTTCGGGGAACGTATCTCCGTCCTGGGAGCAGCGCAGCCACCACCCGCGCGGTGCCAGGTCTGTGCGCACAAAAGCGCGCAACTGCTTGCCAGTCGCAGCCACTGCTGCGTCTTTCCCCCTCGCTCCTGCGCCCGCCGCCCACACAGGAGGTTTCTATACTCCTAGAACAATAGAGGGCTGCACCTCACGGCTTGGCCGCTAGAGGAGGCACAAAGAGCCGAGTAGGCTCCAGAACAATGTAACCAGCGCGTCTATCGGTCCTCTCTTGCCGGCAGGCAGAGCTGGCGCGTTACGCGCACAATCAACGTCCGCTTAATGCAAAGGCGGAGCCTGCAGCCCACCGCCAAGATGCATTAACTAACCTGCATCTTAATTTCTTAGAAGCTCTCCCCGCGAGTGCCTAGCCACTATCCTAGCCCCCGCAAACCACCGCAAATCCTAGCAAATGCAGGCAGCCGGGCAAGGGCGGCCGGCGAGTGAGGCAGGGCGCTCTCCACTCTCAGTCTCTCCTCCCTGGTCCTCCCAAAGCCCTGAATGTGACAGTCCCAACCTTCGTCCTTGCACCCTCCCCTCGCTGTTGGCAATGACGCCGGAGGTGGCTGGAACCCGCGTTTTCGGTCAAGGCCAGTCGTAAAGTCCCTGAGCCCGCGCCAAGATGGGCTCCGGGAGCGCGGTTGTGTGTATCCCGGCTGCCCGCTCGCGGTGCCGGCAAGGCTGTGCGTCCTGCCAGTGACTAAAGAAGTTTGCCTGACACGGTGGGTAGTACCACAGTGACAAGCTCTTTTTCCCTTTTGAAGAGCAAAGCCCCTGAATTGTCTTCATCCAGGGACACTAGACTGGAAAACGGAAATGTGTTGTCTAAAAAGAGTTAAGTGCACAATGTTTTGAATAAGAACACTTGCCAGTTTCTGGGGATCCTGGAAAATGAGGCTCCTCATGGACACCGGACACCCTCATTCCGCCTTCTACTATTGAGGAAGGTTGGAAAGATAGGGCAAAGGTTGGCATGGGAGCGGGGGAGGTCAGTGAAAGCTCAGGGAGAGGAGGAAGGAGAGAAGAAAAAAGAAAAGGGAGACCAATAAGAAGAGGAGAGAAAGGAGACCTAGGAAAACAAGGGAAAATAAAGAGAAAGTGCACAGACTAGGAGAGAGGAGACCCAAGAGAAGTGACTGCGCGTGAAGACCAGGGCTGCAAGCACCTGGGAGACCTCTCCCCAGCAGCCTGGCCTGGGCTACTCGCTGGGCTTACCTGCCAGGCGTAAGGCGGACATGCGCTGGAACTCAGGCTCCTGCAGCCACTTCCACATCCTGCGGAAGGTCTCCCTGCCAGATTTGAGTTTACTCCACGGTTTTGGATTCCGGAGCAGGTCAGAGAGAGTCCCCTGAGACCGGCACAGCACCCTCTGCGCGAAGATCGCTTGTGGAATGCTGTAGCGCTTCAGCTCGGCGGTGATGCGCTGGGCTACCTCTTTGGTGTTGATCTCTTCTAACTGGCCGGATGTAGCCACCTGTGAGCCCGACGAAGACGAAGGCGGCCGCTCGCGGCTGGGCGCCAGCACTGGCCCGTGGGACTGAGTGTGGCCTGGATGGTGCAGGCCGTTGAGGTGCGACATCATGGCTGCAGGTGGGGTGCCCAAGCCTCGGGACAGGTGTTGCTCACCGCGGGTCAGCATGGCAGTGTGGTGCGCGTCGAAGTTGGGGCTGAGCATCTTGTCGTGGCCCGGAGGACCGTAGTTGGGCAGGCTCTGCTGAGCGTTGTGGAGACCTCCCAGCCCGTTGCCCAGCGGCGTGGCAGCCAGCGGGGACAGGCTTTGGCTCATGCCAGGCATCTCCTTGTAGGGGCTGTAGAGGTTGTTCATGGCCGGGAGCCCGCGCTCGTCGCGCATGAGAGTGAAGCTGCCGCTGACGTTGCCGGACAGGCGCTGGGGGGGGGGGGGGGGGGGGGGGGGGGGGGGGGGGGGGGGGGG